TCTGGAATCCAAAATAAGCAGTCACTTTTTACTTCTCCGCACTGATGTACATAAATTAAAATAATAAAATATAATATTTAAATAAGTGGAAACACTATAATAGAGACATTATTACACAGTACACTTATATTGTAATATTTCATAAGAAAAACATTTAAATAATTAAATAAATAATGAAAAATAACCACTTTTTAACCAGAATCTCCTAATAAATTCTGAACCTTTAGTATAAATCAGAACATTATTTCAGATTCTTAATCTACATGCAAAATAATCTAGGGTAGCTCACCAAGTGTACCCCTGAATTATTACTCCTTCACTTACTTTGTAGTCCTTGAGTGATATTGGACCAAAATACACTCATGTAGACCCCTCCAGTTACATCATACTACATGTTGTAAGGGGGCTACAGGTGTAATTCAGGTTCATGCAGTTCGGGAAAAATCTACAAACAAGGTTTAAATCATTGAAACCTTAACTACATGAGCCCAGACTACAGTATTAAATTGTTTGGGATGATCTGTGGCCCTTTTTGGCCCAATTGGGACAATTACTCTCTTGAGGATCAACCCATGCATCATGCAGTGCTTACATAGGCTACAGGAGTGTTACAGTTTTGTCAGAACACCCTGTAAACATGTTTACAAGCCTTAAATCATCTCCTTGACACCTGTAACCAAGCTCTACAGGTGCTACAGATGATCTAAAGCTCCCATAGGCTTAGTAGGAGAGTTACAGCAACCAGAGAGACTCCTGAGTTCACCCCCAGAGGCCCAGAATGGGTATTTAAGAGCCCCTTTTTCCCCCTGAACTTGGTTTCCCCATCTTCATCAGTACTTACCAGCATAAACCGTCACCAACATCCAGTTTCCACCTGCCTTTTGGCCCAGTTCCTGCTGCTATCAACCTGAATTTCTATCAACCATCCAACACCTGTTCCCCAGCACTCTTTCACCACCTCTCAACCACCTTTCTGAGCACCTCAAGAACAGTTCCCCCCTCCTGAAGCATCCGTTGGCCTAGAGATAA